TCGGGGTCGATGAGCCGACCATAGACCATCCACCTTCGCTTTTGAAACAAAAACAAAAACAAAAACAAAAACAAAAACATATTTAACGGTATCTATGCAAAGGTATGTCCGGGACAGAATGCTCAAGCTATGTTCTGGACCAGATCTTTGCTCTTGATTCGTGTCTGCACAAATCCAAGGCAAGTCATACTTATGGACATACGCTTAGCCAGCACAACACTCAGCGGAAGAACAGCAATGTGTTGTCTCGGCGAGGATAGGGCCTCACCGTGCTGCAGTTGCCGGAGACTGACCTATGGTTCGATGAATGCATCTTGCTAGCTGGTCAATCCATCATTCATATGTAGTCTGCACAACCATCCCTTTAACAGCTGCATTAGGGGAACCCAATATACACAAGGATATTTCCTGGTAGTTGGAAGTAACAAACATAATAAATCCTTGAATGCCACTGCTGGTCAGCCCATAACATGCAACTGCAAGGCTGCTGCAAGAAAACGTGATCAATGGGCACTCAGCTCGGGTTAAACTGGAGGAGCGAAGCTTCCTTAACGCCTGGCAAACTACTAAGGTCTGAGCCATGGTCAATATCAATCGCATGAATTTGACAACTCCCCTATGTCTTCTATTATGTTGCTGGGTGTGCCCAATGAAACCTCTTTTGGTACATTGATGACAGGGAGGTTCACCATTTCACATCTGTTCCAAGAGTTTTTCGAGCGGCGCAACCAGCTGGTTCACGAAGACTTGGCCCGTGCCCTGCACAACAGACCAGAGTGTCCTTGGGGTGGCTGCGGAATGGCCTTTGAAAACTCTAAAGGTCCAAACAACAAAGCGTGGCAAAACTGTCCCGAAAAAAGGAGTGCTCTTAATCTCTGGGCAACCGACTTTCGGCTACTCCTGAATATGCCAAACTGGAGTCTCGTTGAAACCGACTGTAGTGTCTGGGGAGTGTGCCATGTTCAAGGCCCCGCCAGTAGTTCATAAGCGTGTTCCATGGTCTATATGGCAGGGCACGAGACCCCAACTCGCCACCGCACTACGGATATCTCAGGTGCAAATCAACTTTGACGCATCGCTGATGCATTCGCCAGCACTGTCCAATACTACGCCGAGTCAACACATTTAGTACTTCACAAGTTGAGGACTAGGTGTATATTGCATGTACCCCTGCTGCAGCATCCTCATCCAACTTTGAGGTGAGAAATAGTCTCTGCAGGTCTATGCTGTAAACTCTTGATGGGGACTTATTTGTCCCTTTTGGAGAAGGATCTTGTTCCAAGTTCCTCACAGACCCTTCTGCAGCAAGGGGAGGCGCCCGGAAGGGTGGCTGGCAATGGCACGTTCGACCCGAAATTGGCTTGTGTTGGCTGGAATTTGGCGCAACCTAGAGCCAACATGCGGGCTTGTTGTCCAAACTGAGCTACTACGGAATCCAAACGTGTATCGAGGCCTGTGACTAAGGAGGAGTTACATAGCTTGCCTCCAGTGCCATGGCCGTGGAAAGAAAGGACTCCTTTTGGTTGGATGGTCGAAGGGAAACCGGGAAACCACCACAAAAAGAAAACGCCAAGGAAAGGCACTGGAGGTCTGCGCATGCGAGTGGACTTGATCACATCCAGGTCTCTGGTACACCTCGCCGCCGCCCATGTGGCAAAACGCAGCCCGCCACAGCAAATCCAAGAGCGGCGCGCCGGACCTCTGGGCGGAGGTGGCGAAACTGGATTAGAATGGGGTTGCGGGGGACAAACCGAGTCTTCCTGCATACTTCGTGTCTATATATTTGTATGCGTAAAGGAATACAGGCTCTATTTGGCTAGCTCCTTACATTACTTCTCTACAGATGGAACCTCAAAAAAGCAATATAATTTTTGAAACAATTCCCCTTTTGGGGTGACCGGGGTCAGGGTCAATTTGGCAGAATAGCACGTGTCCAGACCCCCTGGATTCCTCAAAAAGCCCTTGGGAAGGAACCATGTTTTTAGGAACACAAACATCTCAACTTGACTTCAAACCCAAGACTCATGCAAGTTCAACTTGCTGATCAACAAACCCATTTGCACTGTGCAAAGACATCAAGTGCGCGTGTTGGCCCCCACTCAGCAAGGATATTTTCAGGCCTTGTGTATGGTTGGGAGACCCCCATTACTCAATCAACCAATTTGGCAACAGGTCTTGGCTCCCAAGTGTTGCCAGTTCACAAGTGTTTGTTCTCACCAACATAGGCGAAGCCCAGGATTGCAACCACCCCTCTTGCATGCATGTGGGCCCACGTACCTGCTGAGGCGGTCTGTTGCTCATGTAAATGTGCATTACTACTTAATTATGTAGGTGTGATGACTCTCAGCTGGGGCAATGCAATAAAATGCAACAAGATCTGCACATTTATCAGTCATTCCAACATCTGAAGTACGGAATCGCCAAATAAAGGACCTATATCACGGCGAGCTCACGTTACCCACGAGTGAACTCGCCACAACAGAAGCAAACATGACGATGTTGTGTGTTTGCCTGATCCATGTCTAAAAACATAACAAAGACACATGTTCGCCTTCCAAGGGCGGGCACCAAATTATCTCCAAAACATCAAATGGATGTAGGCCACATTGGGGGTAGCCCAACAAAAACTGTTTTTGTTCTCATGTCCCCGTACATCTAACCCAACAAGGGCACCCACCAACAACACAGCCGCCAAGCCGAGCAATGACAATATCTCCACCGCGAAGGCAAACAACTGGGACAAAAGCAAACAACACCACTACAATCCCCCGCCCAATCTCCAAACGAAGCTACAGTAAATCCACGAAAGCCCCACTCAACCCGTCCAAACTGCAAACAATGTTGAACAAACAGTCCGATCAACCAGCTGGCATCCCATTGATTAAGCAATGATGCCATTGAACAGGGTTTAAAGTCATGCCGACCCCCCCCCGGACTGTTCAGCGTGGTTCCTCAAAAGTCAAGGATCCCCACTGAACGGACGACTCCTCTGTTCATCAGCGAGAGGTTTGCTCCCAAACTCCGATGCCATCCGATGTCCACGCGCGGGGGTCCCTGGGGCTCCTGGCAGGTTCTTGGCCGCCGCTTGCGCCACCAGTCGCTGAAGCACCCCCAGCCGGCGCCCATCCTCGTCGACCTGGGCGGCCTGCGGACTCGGCGAGCGCGCGACCGGAAAAGGAAAAGCAGACGAAAAGGGAAGGAAACGCGAGGAAACAACTACACCACGGTGAAAGCGCAAGCAACAAGGATGGTAGCACCACAAAGGAGAGGTTGTGCCAGCTACTGTCACCCAACTGTAGGCCCAAAAAGAAGCGCTCTCGATGATGTGTTGCAGATTGGGGGTGCAAGAAACTAACTTCTACCCGAACAACAAACACGGAAGCGCACAAGAATTATCCTGTTCCAAAGGAACGGTAGTTCTTCACAAGGGGCCCATGCACTTCCAGTGATTTGATGACCTTTTGTCCATTGGGAAACGCGGCCGAACAAACTACATCGCAATTCCTCGTTCAACAAAACAAAACAAAAGTAGCCAAAAAAGCTCGAGTCTCAAATGAAGTTGCACATCACTGTGTGCATGTTTGGGTGTTTATGTGAATGTGCTTGGGCAAAGCATCCTTGCGCAAGTTTTGCCATCAATTTGGCAGAGAGTTTGGCGAGACCTCTACAAGTCTGCAAAATGGTAACATAGTTTTAGAGCATACCCCGCTTTTTGGTGTTTTGTTGCTTCTTTGTTTAGATTTGTTGGGGAAGTCTTAAGCATTGGGTGTGGCTAGCTCCCATCAGGCTCGAATCCAACGGCCGAAAGGCCGCTGAGTTTGATGTTGCTCCGCAGGAAGGCTCCTATCGTGCTAACGCCATCGCCCCTGACCCTGTCAGCTGGAAAAGCGTATTTAACACGGAGTTGTGGGATATGAATTCCAAACTAGGGGTCCAAAACTGAAATGCAGTAGTGTCGATAGCCTGCAGCCTCGCACCGAAACTTTGCACTTTTTGGGATATGCTCCGATGTCCAGCGGAAAAAAATGGTGTCTAACCAGCCCCCAAGATATCCAGGGAACTTCGAGATGTTGTGGCTCACAGAAGGGGCCTAGACTGCTAAAACATCTTTCAGTATCAGGCGTGTAATTTGAGGGGTCACGGATACCCTTCCAAAACAATGAGCTACTTTTTCATGGTGCCGTTTCGAGCATGCCAACTACCCTTGAGTCCTTCAGCCCCGTGCTACTAACTACCCCGAAAACCTAGAGGCTATACTTTAGAAATGAGGTATGGTCTAAAGGTACGTTAGCATTTTTTAGGTGACCAAGGTCAAAGCTTGGGACCAGCGACTAGGCCGCCCACAAGCTTCAAGCAAAGAAACAGAGATCCCCGTACTTATCCTTCAAACATTACCCAATCAAAAAAGGAAGCTCACCCAAACTTGGTCCAAAAAGTGATGCTCATATGAGCTAAAACAAAACCTAGGAACCCCTGTGAAACATCGGGCGAGAAGCGATGTAGGCCAACGTCAGCGTGGGTTCATTCTGGACCTGCGACTCCAATTCCATGACTTTCCTGGGCGTGGTGGAAAGACCTATGAGGGGGCTACACGCATTGGTTGGTTGTACCTCGTGGTGGCTGAGATAGTATTTGTTGATTCACAGTGTGGCTGCAGGGGCATTGCATTTATCATGATGACCTTGCAAATTACATCAAAAGCTTGAAGGGCTTTGCCAAATCCTGCTTCAACAGTTCACAAGCATATGGTTGCGTTGTATTCTATCAGCGCTTCAACATTTGCTTGATACTCACATGTGTGATTCCCAATTCCCATTGTGGACGGAACACCCAAGCCACCCATTGCCAACTAAGCCCAACTTTAGGCAACACCAATGTCTTGCCCTACAACTGCCAGGCTAGCAGCGCATTCTTCTGGATGCATCCTTCTGTCATTTCCCATCCAGCATTTTTCTCAGATCACAAGGTTGTCACTAAATGCTGTGCTCACCTGAGAAAAAGGAACAACAATCGGGCTTGCGCCAACATCCTGGACCTTTCTGAATGGTCTTTCGGGTGGCTCCCCGCCAAAAAAGAAGAAGAAGACAACAACAACACCAAGTGGCATTTCTGGTAGAGATATCTAAGCCGTAAAACTGCAAGGACACATTGGGCACCACCGAAGGAAACCGCCCAAAGGGCGTCTAATCATCTGGGCGTCTCCCTAAAGCCATCCAAGGCCTCTTCAATGCGCAGCGTCAGGCCGTAGGCGTAGTGCCCCGGGCGCCGCTCCTCGGCAGTCCAGCAGATCAGCAATATCCATTTCGCACCAGTTCAAATGAACGAAACTCTATGCGGCTAATCCAATCTTGGCCACCCACAGCAGTACAGTACTATTTATACAACCTCATGTTGTTGTTTCTTTTTTTGAGAGAACCCGCGCCAACCCGGTCCTTGTCATTGCTGGCAGCGAAGTGGCGCCGCCGCACCGAGGCGGTGAAGTCAGAGAGCTTCTTGCAGAAGAAGCCCACCTTGCGAAGACTTGGGTGACCCGAAATTTGAAATGGGTTCTAAAGACCTGGGTTCATGCTATATACACATGAGCATGCTTTGTTCCCGCTTTCCGCATTCACTCTTGGGTTCTAACATGGTTGTAGAGGATTATCCGCAATATAAACCAAGTTCTCATCCCAATGAAACCAGGCAGAAGAAGCGTAGACCCTTCGAGACACCTCGTACACCGCAGATGCCCAGCTCGTACCGCTTAGAAAAGAATTAAACACCTTTGTGGCGGCCATCCGATGGGCCCATAAGAAACTTAAAATGTGCCCTTTGCCTGAGTTACCAAAGCCCCAGGCTTCCTGTCTGACTTTAATTGGGTGCATGGAGGCCTCGACTTACATGCGGCCTACAAGCGGCCACCCTCTTACAAAAACATTTCAGCCTCTCAAAGAGCCGGCACGCCACGGCTGGCCACTGTTCAGAGCATGTTCTCACATGCACGAAGCTTATAAACAGCTTCTCTGCAAGGTCTTCCCTCGAGAAATATCCAAATAATAAGCCTCTGGAATGGTCCCCCCAGAACACCCAGGTGCCCGGGTAGCAGGTTCGTATCAAAGGCTTTCACAAACAAAGCAGCCTGCCCATCTTTGACATCCATAACTCAAGGGATGGCTACCACACTCGGCATCATAAGCGGCCATGAGTCTTTGCTCCTTCCATAAAATAAAACAGTTCTCAGATGCCCTGAAAGGATCTGGCAGAAACATGAGTCCTCCTGGAGGCGGGGTTGATTGTCAACCATGGGACCGTTGTCGGGACCCGATTCGGATCGTTTGGCGCCACCTTTGCAAGGGTCACACGAGGGGTGCATGCATTTACTTTGAGAGCCACCTACAAAACCACTTGGTCCTTTCACTGGCCCAATGTGACCCTGCCAGCTCAGCAAACAAACGATTTGCTGAAGCCAAACATGGAAGGATTGAGCAACAGGCTTCTGCTTGGGACGATCAACGGGCTTGGCTGCAAAGTTGCTGGGGGCATTGACCTGTTGCCAGAATCCTACCAATAGCTGAGGCAATTCAGACTGATTTTGCTAAAGGAACGATTTCAACGACACATATCCGTGTCTCTTGAAGATACCCTTTTTGAGATTGGTTTGAGGGGAAACCAACCGAACGAAAAACATTTGTTTGGCGGTCCCCCACTTTGAGACACCCCAATATCCAAACAGGTGATTGGTCCAATGGCAATCCAAGCTCTCCCCGAGCCAGTGCTTTGAAGCGGCTAAGTGTGGCGAATACGTTGAAGTGTTGTTCTTTCAGTTTCCAGGGAAGCTTTCCGGAGAGTTGTTTGGGTGTCTTTTAGCAAGGGACCCTTTTGGTTATTTCAACGTGAACCAAAAGGAAGCCGACCTGCTTGGGGTCCCGTATCCTTCTTTGAAGCAAATCCATGTCTGGGTATGATTTGTTTCACCTTATCTCCGTTTCAAACTTTATGGGAACCCAACCTTACTATTTGAGGTATTTGGGGAACATTTAGGTACTTGGATACTGAACAATACACTTTCTCATGAAAGCATGCAGGGCTCTCTCTTAGAGGGGACCCACTGGCAAGAAAGCCTAGGTAAGGCTCAGTAAGGCTGAGCCATACGAAACGGAGGCCAGGGGTTCAATCTAGGGGACTACAGACAGTATGGTTTCGAATCTTCATCTTTACCTTGGTTCAACTCATATCATGGGGATTCATATGTCCACCAATCAGGGGTGAGCGGACCGGCTTGCTTCGCGCCTTCAGCATCCGCTCCACCAGCCTTCGCTCTCCCTCCGTGAGGAAATCCGCGGAGTCCAGGACAAAGCCTGAAGCGGCTTAGCGCGCTTTCGGCTTCGACTCTGTTTTGGGTCGTTTCGGACAGCCGTGGTTCGGTTCCAGAAGGACCAAAGAGCAGGAAAAAGAGCAAATGCTTTCCAGGCACCCATTGGGTCTGACTGCCTACACTCGCTTCCTGAGTTGATGGGCCAACACAATCTGAACCGCGTTCTTCTTCCAACTCGTGTCAAGTACACCATAGAAAGTGGATATTCTCAAAGTAAACACGCGTAATCAGCTGCATTGACAATTCATCGTGCCTTCAGTACACCCTCCGTACTTCAAGGAAACGATTTGCGTGTTATTGTCGTAGCTGAGAAGACGATCTTGGCCTGTCTCCACGTAAGTGGTCAAGTCAGTGCAGCATCCAGCATCGCATGTCGGAAAACAACCATTGACAACAAAAAGCCGAACACATACAAACAATCCCTCTCAACTGTAAACCATCGAGGACTCCCTCTCCACACACGAACTAGTTAGGGGGTGAGGATCACACAAACACACACGCACACACCATCACCATCAGTAAAACTGCACACCGCACGTCATGCAAAAAGAACTGGCCCTTCTTTCCCCTGGCCGAGCTGCCATTCTCGCTCTCCACCACGAGGCCGCCGGTGTATCCGAGAAGGCCCAGCAAGACTTCATGCATCACACCCGACATGGCGGGCAAAGGCGTGCATGCGACAGCTGTGGCCTCACTCAGCGTGGAATCCGGGTCTGTGTGTGTTTGAGAGAGCCTCAAGCCTCAAGCAATGTGCCACTCCAAACGGTGAGTCTCTTGGAACACCCCTGGAAACGTCATAAATAGAACTCGGTGCCATGCTTTGAGAAGAAACCAATTCTGATCTATAACTTCTTTGTCTGCTGATTTCTTAGCGGAGGCCAACAGGAAAGCTAACATGTTGGCACAACCCGGTTGGCGTGCAAAGTCCTAAATAATCATAATCGCTATAGAGTGTGGGGTCCTTTAAGACCGCGTCTGATGGATCATGGTTCCAGGATTAAACTATTGGTAGCTGTTTAGCCCCTTAAACTATAACTGCTCCATGTTGTTGTGTTGATCCGCTTCTGATCCCTTGCCCTTCGTTCAAATAGGCGATGCCCAGAACTGCGGGCCGAGCTGCCCTCTAAACTAAACCTCATGTGCGCTTTGGTTGTTGCCTTTGTGTCAACTGTTGTCTTCCGTTCTTCATTTCACCTTTTTGAGCCTTTTGGTCATGCGCCCGTGCAGCAGGAGACATGCACAGCTGCAAACCTGTGAATGCCGTCGTCGCTCTGAAACAATGATTGGACAAACGCTTGGCGTGGCCAGCGACCCATACACAGTTGAACAATCAGAATCAGTCTGACCAGCCATGCTCCCTGCTTGAACCAAGTATATAAGCTGCGACCATTCCATGCGTCCAATGTTTAGTGTTGACCAAACCATTCACATCCACAGGCAATGTAACCCTGATCAAAAAGCGCGCGGCTGTCAAGATAGGAGCCCAGCAACCCATTCATCGTTGAATGCTTTTGCACGGCAATCTGTCATGCGTGGTGGATGAGTGCAGCGATGGCCAGAAATACTTACAGGGGGAAAAAGGCCGTCCCCGCTGGGGCTTCCTGTCAATATTGCTGCTTCCATTGAACCGCTTGACTCGGGACTTGCTAGGGACTGCGCCACTTCCTGGGACTCGCGGTGCCGGGGATACTCGATCCTGGGATCCAGGCAGCGGGGCCCGAAGCCCAGAAGTGCTTCACAAAACAAACACATCAAACGCCAAAAAAATCGGAAAAAAACCGCATGCGCGAATTCCGGCACATGAATCTGTTTACGAAACCGGAGCAAGTGCATGAAGCCATGAAAACGGTACTCTTCTCAAAGCGGCAGGATGAAGCAGGCACTGAGTAAATGGCTAGCAAGCCTGTTCTCATCCACTTGACGCGTGTATAGCTCCCCCAGGTCAGGTTGCAGTCAGAGTCATGGTTGTCAATAATTGGCCTGCTTGAAACGCGAGAATGGCCGCTGTCTTGAACAACCAAATTCAACCCAGCACAGTTTCTCGGAAAATGTCGCAAAGCGATGGAAAGAGCTCATTCGTGTTTGCTTTAAGACCAAGCCAAAAACATTGCCAAGCTTCGACCGGGCGATTTGAAACGCGACAGCGCACCAACGCAAGAAACGCATAGAACCTCCACTACGGATCCACTCAAGGAACCTCTTTCTTGCAGCCTTATCTTGGTGTCTTAGACTTACTTTTGGGAAAAGGGTTGGAGGGATCCCGGCAGGGAGGAGGGGTCTAGTGGAAAGGCTCGTCCCCCGACTGGGTCCAACTTGGATCCGGGCGCGTAGCCTTTGTAGAAAGCAAAGACCTGCGGTGCCAGGTCTCCACCTAGAACCTCCTAACCCGGGTAGGAAACACTAAGCGGAGGGTATGAATTGGGGAGTATCAGATAGCAACAAGCAATCGAAAAAGAAAAAACCAAAAAAAACAAATGCAGCGCTGAGCATGCATGCCCCACACACGAAAACGGCTCCCCCAAAAAGTTATGCATGCCTTACAACGAGTCAAACAGGTAGCACAAAGGTGCGCGGAATTCAACCTGCAATGGTGAAATCATCGTTTAGGGCCGTACTGAGGGCATGAGCCTCTTTGTGCCTCTTGATGCCTGTTGCCAACTTTATGGAGCTTTGTAGCAGGAAGCCTGCCAATACTAACCTGCAAAGGGCTCTCCAAATTTTGGTATAGAATTGGAGCACCTGCGTAGTGCACATTTCGCCGTGCCCTTGTGAACAATGCCACCTTGAGAACGCCTGCAATGAATGCTACGCAATTGATGGTCACACAATGATTGCAGAACCCGACTCGTCACGTTTAAGACCTTCATGCGTCCTACAGCTAGACAGTCATTTATGTAACAGCCTGTTCAACGGAAAACTTGTGCCATGAAATATGCTCAAGTTATATCCAAGTACTAGTAGCAAATCTATTCACAATCTATACACAATGGTAAAAGCTTCTCACGTAGCTTCTGACTGCCAGTACCGTCATCCGATCCGAGCGCCGCGCAAACATGTAGAAAGTGTAGACGTATGCGTAGTACCTGTCCCGGGGGATAAAAGTAGTGAACACATGTTCAATGGTGTCCAGCCTCCTTGTGGGAGCCAAAGACTGCTCTCAAAATTCGAAACCACCGAACCCCCATTTGGAACAGCGGCGGGTATACTGTATACATGTGCAGGTATACCTCTACGTGTAGGCTTTAATCATATATGCAAATATACGCTTGGCACGTTTCGCAGGGTCCTTGAAACACTCATGACCATGGGGCAGAAGCTTGAATTTGCAACCCTTGTGTGGACAAACATGCACATTGGTATTTGTTTAACCACCAACTTTGGTTATGGCTTGCCTGGACTAGCTTTCACAGGGGGCTTTGCGCTGTTGGCCCCACTTCCTTATCGGCTTCCGAGGCAGCAGGAAAGCACGGGAAGAAACAAACATTCGTAACACACACACACACAGAGACACGCAAACACACACACAAACACCAGCACCATAGACATTCCCGAAATGACTGCGACGGCTCCCGGCTCTTCGGAAGGATGTATACTGACATACAGCTAAGCGAATCTGGTGAATAGCGGGGACAAAGGTGAGCACTCTAAAATAATCTTCTGTTGTATCCCTTGCCAGGTGGGTAGCCAAGGAAAGTAAAAAAACTTACCTTTCTTTGTTGATTTCAACAGAACACCCAGCAAGGCTGCGGCACAAGTGGACTCAAGGGAAATGAGTGTACAAATCAACCAACACACACACACACACACACCTAGTGTTTCAATGCCAAACGTCTTTGTTTATCAACGGACGAGATACCGGCAATACATATCTGCTACATTCCGCTTTGTGGAAAGCCAGCACATGATAGAACATAAAACAAGAATGGCTCTTATAAGAAGAGGCAAGGAAAACAGTACAAAGGCACACTAAAAACATTTCGACATGCGAAACACCGGCTCTCGTCGATTGGGTGGCACGTGTGCGCGAAGAAGCAAGTCCTCACCTGTGGGCAGCCATGCCGTGGGGGCGCACAGACCAGGGCAATCCAACACGATCCTGACACCCCCGATGGACCTGCAAAAACGATGGTTGTATTTTGGTTTGCCTTTTGAACCCGCCCCCAAACGGGTGCCCAAAAAAAACACACTCCAGGTCACTGACTCTGCTTGACCTCTACAAGACATTTCGCGGCGACCACGCCCAAGTTCTTCGGGGTGCTCGACAAAGCAATATTTGCCCAACCCAAGCACAGTGTGTGCGTAATTGCACAGGCAAACCATATCAATGTATGTCTTTCATCTACAGGTCTACAGGGCAACCAACAACTGCAACTGTCTTAATTAGAATGCGTAGTAATCAGTACTTGCTCGTTGCTTGGCACCTTGCTGTGCAATGCAAAAACTACTCCGGTGACATATCACTAAAAAGAGTGGCCCCTCCCGCGTCCACTTTGTCATCATCTTGACACCCAGCATGGCTCGCTCGGCAGTCAGTAACAATGTGCCCTTTGAGACCCCGGTGCCGCTTCTGGCCGCCTGGACAAGCATGCCAAAGAATATGCATTCTCTCCAAACAAAACAAACAACAACACGCAAATTACTACCTACTCACCGGCAGGATCGCATGGAACAAGCGTTGAGTCCCCCTTTTTTGGAGATTCCTCGACGCATCTGGCTTTGTGGTCCATATTGAACTGGAAGGGAGTGGACATGCACCCCTCCCCAACTCGCCGCTTTGCCCGGCCCAAGGCGTGAGGTTCTGATAGTTCGGCAGCGGACTGTCCTTGGCGGGCCTCAAAGCGTTTTCGCGTTGTTTCTTTTTCTGAGTGCGCGCGCAAGCCATGGTCAGGGAAAGAAGGAAACAAAAGGCCCCCTAGCTCAGGAAAGGCCTTTCTAAAAGTGAAGGAACATGGAAAAGGTTCCGTGATTGCTCTTGGGAGGGAAGCTCAGTGATGCCAAATTGGGAGTCGCACTTCCATGGCTTTTATCACTTACTCCTCTGGCCAGTCTCCCCAACAAATGGCTTTAGATTTGAATTCGTGGGTTCCCCTGGACTACGGCAACCTACAACTGTGTTGTTTCGAAGCTCAGCTTTTCCTGGTGAAGTTCGAATGAAATCATGAAACATTGGGTCCCGAGTGTTGTTCGCAACACAAGTGAGTCAACGTGCTGCAGTCTACTATTGGTTTGAGGAGGACAAGAGGCGACCACCTAAAGTACCCGTTAATCAGGGGGAGCGCCCAACTTGATGATGCCTTTTGTGGACAATCAGGGAGCTGACATCAACTTCCCGGCAGATCTAGAAAATTGACCGGAGTCGTGATGAAATCAACGGGCTAAAAAGGCCAGCAGTGAAACATCACAGCTCCAGTATATTTCATGTGCTGCGAGCTGGACAGCCTCATTGCTGAATTAGACCAATATCGAAATGTGGCACACTGGGTGTTTGAGAGACGGCCCTGAAATACCCAGCCCGGTCATCCAGTCCTCGTTGAGCCAAGAGTTTGAGAATTCACCAGACCAAATCAACAAACCTGGCCATTCAATTGGCTAATTGGTCTGCCCAAGGGCCATCGACTACTTCGACAATCAGAAAGCGATTCGTGAGAAGCTGACTG